CTAAAAGCTCAGCATCCTCATCAGTAATTCCAGGTTTAGTGCTGGGCTGGGTGTGTATTCACTCCTGTGTGTAAAGACATGGCTGGAAGCAATGGGGATGCAGCTTTGGTTATTCCAAGGCCTGTTACCAAGCAGTGGCTGCTACCCATGGCCACAGCTGCTTCTTATGATCTGGGAAGAACAAGAGGTTATTTGAACCTGTGGATTGCTAGCCAAGGATTTTGCATGGCTGTTGTACAAACTGGCATCTGCTATTTCCAGATGTGTTATAAAGCAAAATTAGAATGGGTTTGCATTGGTATATCTGTGAAAGAAAGCTCTGATGCTAAAGTATAAAGTATGCAGCTTTCAAAAATGGTACTAAGACCTTTGTATGTAATAAGCTAAAAATAGTGTTAATTATTTTATTTCTGCAAACTTAAAAAAGAAACAAAAGAACCTTTCTGGCCAGGTGCTACCATTGCCAAATATGCATTTCAGTTAAACTTTGCTGTGTTTACATTTCTAGATAATAAAATTCTTTGGTTTACAGACTGCCAGAAGATAGAAAGCTGAGATTAAAGTATCAGATTTGATAAGGTTTGTTGTAAAGTAAAGGTAATAATGAAACAATGCCTATTTAGTCAATTTTCTAGTTATTAATGTCTTTTAGAGAGCATCAAGCTTTCATCAGCCTTTCTTGTCTTCTCTTTTCTTTGTAATGCATCAGGGTATGTGTTTGCTATTAGACCTTTTCATTAATTTGAAGGATGAAGATGAGTAAATCTAGTTGTAAGTCTCCTCTTCATCAATGACAATGACTCAAAAGACAACAGTCTGCTTTGATTTCCAAGCACTCTTGTAGAGACTGCTTTTGTGGAAATTATACATAGAATAATATTGCCAGAATAAAAATTTAGTGTGCAGGCACCACATTTGTAATGAACACATTTCTGGTGTAGCCACCAGCTGTCCAGAATTCTCTTTGTTCATTCACAGGTCTGTGAGACAGTAAGAGTCTTATTTTAATCTTCCATCTTGTTTTTGATAAACTTGGCTGCAAAAGCTCTTAAAAGAACCTTTTATGATTTCTTAAGGACATTTGTGTTGCTTTTGTTGTTACCCCAGTGTGTCAACATTTCATCATCACTATTTCACAGTGTACATGTTAAATGCTATTATCCCTATTTTATGGAAGAGAAACTTGAGGACAAAGTGACAAAAGCCATTGGTACAGGGATTTAGGAGCCAAGCCACCAAGGGGTTGGTTGAATCCTTTTTCTTTCTTTGGTCTGTCCTGTGTTTCCCTTTCCTCAGGCTATCTGGGTGGCTGGGGCTGCTAAGATCCAGGCTGTCTGCTCAAATCACTCTTAGCAGGATGCCTGCACATCCCATCTGCCAGCAGGATCTGAGTGTTTGGAGCTCCTTCAGGAAGACTCCTGCACCCAGCAGGTTTGCTGAAGCCCCCACATGATGGCTGTGAGAACTGGTGACAGCTAAGCCTGGGGAATGTGTGTGCACTCATCTGCTCCAAGATCTGCTCCAAAGAGTAAAGTGCAGCCAGAATTTTCCAGTGTAGCAACTTGAAGGTTGTTTCACACCCCTGACTGAAACCATCTTGCACCTGCCATAAACATGATAGGGACTTCTTATGGCTGCATCATGAGACCTTTGGAAGCTTAGATGATTTAGGCCTTTTTAGCAGTTTGGTAGCTGCATATGGTTGGGCATCTCAAACACTGAAGGCCATGAAGTATGGCCACTCCACAAAACAGTACTTCCTAATGATAATTCTCTGGCATTTCTGGCAGGAAACCTTTTAAATATTTATGGAGTATTTCAATTGTAAATCTCATAACACATATGTTACTGGGTATTTAGGGCTTAAATAATTTCCCAAAAAAGAAAAAAAAATATTCCACTTTCTTTATTGCAGTTGTTCCCAACCTCAAAGCCAATGTTGTCTGTTGAAAGTAGAATAGATACTAATTTGGTCTCATAAAACCACAGATTGTTTGAACTTTCCTTGAGTTTCTGAATGAATAGCTGATCAGATCCTGTGATGCTGCTCTCAGCCTATCTGAGATATGAAAGAGGCGCTTGTCCAGCCAGTTCTATGGCTGTGCCATTCTTTTGTTGCCTATAGCACACATGCTCTGCTCCTTTTTTACTCTCCTTTTATTTTAATGCTCTGCAACAGGGTTGCACAAAGCTGAGTTGGCTTTTAAAACACAACTTCATTTTGCAGCTATATGTCTGTGCCCAGTTTTCTTTTGTGCTGCCCATGGAACAAGGAGGCTGTGTGGTATCTGACACCAGGCTTTTTTCCAGTGATTTATTAACTGTGTCAGAATAGCTGTTGTGAATGCTGGGAAGCTCTTGCATATTGTGACAGTTGATATTGATTATGACAGTTTGTAGACTCTACTGCATTGTCAGACAGTGGATCTTATTTTGTCTTATTACTATACATACCACGGGCTATAGATCATAGTGTTTTCTTAAAAAAAGGACCCATTGTCCAGCATTCTGGCTGGTATGAGGGAACTTCTGTAGCATATTGTGCAACAAATAGCAAAATAGTTCAGGCACCCTATGGGACAAACAGGCAAATGTCAATTGCTTTAGGAAAAAAAAAGTGAATAGTTTGTTCTGGCCTTTCAGGGGAATGAGCTGTGCAAATGATAGACATGGGTAAACTAGTCTGAGGATGTCATTTATGAAAATACTGCCAATCCTGTATTGTCTGTTGACCAGAAATCCACAGACCATATAGGAGGAGTTTGCAATGAGGATTTTGGCTACCAATAATTTGTAAAGGTTGCTTTGGGTCTTGATGGAAGCTGATACTACAGATTTCTAGAATGAGTCCAAGGAAGAGAAGAGAGAGATTTTTGCAAACTTGGGAGAAAATGAAAGCTGGTATGTGAGCTTCTGTGATGGGCCCATAGAATCATAGAATTGTTTATTTTGGAAAGGCCTTTTAAGATCATCCAGTCCAACCATTAACCCAGCCTTGCCAAGCCCCCCATTGAACCATGTCCCTAAAGGCCACATCCACACATCTTCTAAACACCTCCAGGAATGGTGACTCCACCACTTCCCTGGGCTGCCTGTTCCAATGCCTGAGCACCCTTTTGGTGGGGAAATTCTTCCTCATACTAAATCTAAGCCTCCCCTGGAGCAACCTAAGGCCTTTTCCTCTTGTCTTGTCACTTGTTACCTGGGAGAAGTCAAACAGATCACTCCAGACAATGTCCCCTCCTGGTGGATTGGTTTTAGCCAGGCAGTAGTTAAAGTAGCACACAGAAGAAGAGATATTTCTATTTGCATAAAAGCTGCTTCAGTGGGGAAGAAGTCAACAGCTGAGCTTTTACAGACAACCTGATAGGAGGAGGGAGTCAAAAGCCATTTTGTTAATTATGCTGCTGTGATTTACTATATTGCTGCTATAAAACTGGAGGAAAAATCTTCCAACAATACATTTCTTTTCAAAACAAAACCGCACTTGAGATGGAGTGGTGACAGTGAGTAGGAAAGAAATAATTCTGATTTTTTCTGTTCTATTCCTGCATGACCATAATAGGTCATAAAGTTACACTTGGAGATAACAAACCTTAGCAAAATGACATTTAGCAGTCTATGCTGTTAGACTTTTGATCTCACACTGATAGATTTAAACACAGTTCCTGATGCAATTTACATTGATGTGATTCAAAATCCATTTCTGCACGTACCTTGTGGTTTAATTGAAATCAGGCTTAATGGCAGGTTACTTGTGTATTATTATCACTGGGATACTTCGGAGCAAGGCTGTGACACTGAGCTGTGGCCTAAGGAAACTGGGCTTAGTACTTGACCTCACTCTGGGGCTCATTTTGGCCACTCAAACCAGTTCATCTCTCTCATGAGACGAACTCATGCCCATTTAAGGTTGTTTGTTTACACTATGACATCTTTCAGAAGGAACATTTCCTACCGGAAGCCACTCTTGATCTCATCTGGGATTTCTAGCTGCTGCTCTAATGCTAACCACATTTTCTGTAATGCAATCTGTATTTTAATGAGTCCCTAATGTTAGCAAGGAGACACATTTAAAGTAAGTGATTTGATTTCAGTGATGATGCAACTTCCCATTCCACACATGCATTGAAGTTAGATTAAATTTAGCACTCTCACTGTGTCATAATTATTTTCCATAATGCCAGAATAATCTAGAATTTGTACATTCACAGCACTGCTGTAAGCCTCAGGGTGTGCTGAAATTTTACAGTGGCAATTCTCAGTCCAGTGTCAGGTATTAGTGCTATATTTTTATAATTATGGATTTTATTGCAGAACAGGCACAGCAGTATCAAAAATGCCTTAAAGGAAGGATAAAATGGAAGAGTTTTTAAATGTCACTTTTCACTACAGGCGTATTTTATTTAATTTTTTTTCTAATATTCATAAAATATTTTTAAGAAGTTACATGTGAGAAATGAAAAAGTTCCAGCACTCAGATGTGAAGACTTGTTTCCTTAAATGACTTATCTGAAGCTCTGGTCACAATTCTCTGTCTGTGCAGAGCTCTGGCTCTTTAAGCCTGAGACCACACCTGAAGATGATAATTTTGGTATTGTGCTGTGAAAAGCAGCAGCTTCCCAGCACCAGTTATAGACTAGCAGTCAGTCACAGGAGTCACCTCCCTCTTGGTTTCCCTTGGCCATCATAGGGCCCTCAGACTGTTTACACACTAACCTTTGCTAGTTATTTGCCTGACATCTTCTCCAGGTGTTCTTGCCTCTTTGAGATGTCTTGGGTCCTTTGAGTTACAATTCTTAAGAAATTTTATTTTGTTTTTCTGAGAAAAGGCAATGGTAATAACTTCAGAAGGTGGATACATTTCCCTCTCTCATCCTGGTGCCCTGAGCTGAGTGTCTTGCAGGTCTGTTTCATTTTCAGGAGGCTGTGGGAGCCTCTCTGTCCATAGGTTGAAGCCTGCTCTCTGACACGGCTGTTATTTTCTCCCTTCCCTTCAGATGGTGTTCACAGTGTCACTGCAGTCTGCACCCTGCGTGTCACCATCATCACGGACGACATGCTCACCAACAGCATCACAGTGCGCCTGGAGAACATGTCCCAGGAGAGGTTCCTTTCTCCCCTCCTGTCCCTCTTTGTGGAGGGGGTGGCAACCGTGCTCTCCACCGCCAAGGATGGCATCTTTGTTTTCAACATCCAAAACGACACGGACGTCAGCTCCAATATCCTGAACGTGACCTTCTCGGCCTTGCTCCCTGGTGGCATTCGAAACAAGTTCTTCCCCTCTGAGGACCTGCAGGAGCAGATCTACCTCAACAGGACGCTGCTGACGCTGATTTCCACACAGAGGGTGCTGCCTTTCGACGACAACATCTGCTTGCGTGAGCCGTGCGAGAACTACATGAAGTGCGTCTCCGTGCTGAAGTTCGACAGCTCGGCGCCGTTCATCAGCTCCAACACGGTCCTGTTCCGCCCCATCCACCCCATCAACGGGCTGCGGTGCCGCTGCCCCCCGGGCTTCACCGGCGACTACTGCGAGACGGAAATCGACCTGTGCTACTCCAACCCCTGCGGGAGCCACGGGCTCTGCCGCAGCCGCGAGGGCGGCTACACCTGCGAGTGCTACGAGGACTACACCGGTACGTGGTTACTTACTTACTTTATCTGGGGCCCGTGATTTATATGTCAGACCAGCAGCCAGGCCAGCTCTGTGGCAAGCTGAAATTGCTGGCATTCTTAGGCAAAGGGAGGGAAACTCCTGGCGCTGCCTTCTAGTCACGAGAAGGTTTGTGGGTGTCACTTAGGGTGGGTAAGGCCCGTTTCTCTGTGTGTGCACAGTGGTAGGAACCGTGCCTTGCTCCAGGTCATGCTGGGGGACTGTCAGCTTGCTGAAGAGATTTGCACTGTGTGAATTTCTGCTCAAAATGCTTTATGCAGACACATTTCTTCTGTGTGGAAGGAAAAAGGTGGGACACATCTCCTGGTTCATGGGTTTGCAGGTAAACCCATTGCAGGCCCCTTCACCTACCGGGGCACAGTGTGGGTGCACAGTCTCGACAGGAGCTCCTCAGCCCTTGGTCATCAGCCAGCACAGAGCATTAGCATTGTTCTTGTTCCCAAAAAGCTGCAGTAATACACACTTAAGGGAAATGCTGTAACTCAGCTCTGGTTTGTAAATATTCAGATAAGAAGGACGTAGCTGCTTCCAGGCCTGTCTCCACAGCCCGCTGAGGAACGTACTTTGTCTCATCATGGACTTGACAGCTAATAAAGATCAAAGTGCTGCTTCTCAAATACTCCTGAGAAGTTACAAAAGAATATTAGGTGAATGTTTTCTGGTGCTTCAGTAAAGTCAGTGAGATTATTTATGTATTTGAAATTGCACACGTATTTAAGCATTCTACACTGACGTGCTGCCAGCTGTAATTTACACTGACAGCTCAGCAATGTCTGCTGTGACCCCTGCAAACAAGGGGTGGAGCAGAGGGGGTTGGTTCCCAACACTGCCTCTCACTGCTGAAGTTATAAAAAACTGAAACCATAAATTATTTAAATTCTAATGTAAAAAAAAATCTCGTTGATGTGGATCCAGCCCTCCAGGTGGAAGGCTTTTCCTTCACAGTCTCTGGCTTTTGCCTCAGGGCTGTCATCAAAAATGTGACTGTGGAAGGAGCCAGGAGTTAGCAAGCAGGGACATGGCAGCAAAGGAACTGGGCTTTTCCCTGCATGGGGGACAGGAGATGCTCCCTCAAATTTATGCAGGGCTTGGGGCAGCAGGACCAATCTGATAAGATGAGAAAAATTTTTTTGCCCGATGGGAGAAACCCTGAATAGAACTGTGAGATGGTTGGAATATTTGGTGTTTGTTGAGGAGTTACTTTCATGTCAAGCTTCTCATGAACAAGTTCCACAGTGAAATACATTTGAAAGTCCATTATCCATAAATGCACAATACACACAGAACTGGGCATCACAAAATAGATTTTATGATCAGTAGATTTCATTTAAAATGTTTGTATACTATTGTACTGTAAATAGGAAGTAGCAAGATTCATTAACCAAAGATATGCATAAAAATGAAGTTAATGCATCCATATCTTAGTTTTGGAATGACATGCATTCCATCACATTTTTAGAATCTCTTGCTAGAAATCTTCAGAAAAAAAAGCTAAATACACTTTTAGAATGAAAGATAATAAGCTTATATTAATAATTGATGAACATGTTTAATACTTAATGCTGTAGTCAGAACAAGCAGCACATATTTAGAAGAGAAACACCATATTATTCATACACAAAGAAAGATTTGATCTGTAGGTCTATTTTCAGTGCATAATTGTTGAGTTAAAAATTAACTGTCCTGCTGTCAGGGTATTAAAGTGGTCAGAAGTTAAGGAGGGAGCACTGCTTATAGCTTTGTTGTCTTTAGGTTTCAGAATTAGCTACACTTGAGTGAAACACTTCTGTGAAAGGATAGTTTGATCATATTCAGATTGGCCAGGGAAAAACACTTCCAACCATGACAAAGAGGGCTCTGGAATACTTTATCCCAAAAATCGATGCAAATATTGTAGAATATTTCTGTTTTGTTACTGGATGAATGCAGTAGAAATTTAGTATCTGTTCTGGGATTGGTTGAAGTTGCTTTGATGCCTTTAGGTTCCATGTTGCATAACAATGTTTTGTTCATCAAAGCCAAACATCTACCCACATATGGTGGCCATTAGTTCCTTGATTTTCAACCCCTTTACAAAGCAGGGTTAAAAATGTTATCAACAAGAAATCTATTACCAGAAATATTTAATGAAGGTGCATCATTGAATTTTGTCCCAATCTCCTTTAAGTATTGTTACTTTACCTATGATTTTAATAATTTAAATATATTCATATCCATTTGCAAGTTCAGTTTATGTCTATTAATCATAATATTGTGTTTTCAGCTTGGATGTAAATTTATTGTTTACAGCATTCCAGATTTTCTATCTATTTGATCTGTAAATAGCACAGGTTGGTTTCAATAGCAGCAGTGTGTGTTGGCTTATGGAATGCAGTGGCCATAAATTGGAATGAGCAGGGAATTGCCAAGTCTGAAGGTTGGAAGATTCTGGTATTACTGAAATTTTATCATGGTACAACTTGGTGTAGTAACATACCAGTATGAGGTACCTACAAATCTTTTAATTAATTGTAAAAGATGAAATATGAATGGTAATAGTCTATGAAATGCAGCCTGCTTTGGGAGCTCTCATGTTTCCATTTCCCAATTAAGAGCCTACATAGAAAAATAATTATAAGAAAATACTAAGATCTGTCATCTCTCTGGGGAGATAGGCTGCAATTTGATGAGAAATCACTACACAATCATAACCCTGTACTGATTCTATCTGACTAGTCACCTGCTAAAAATATAGTGTTTATTTCCTGTACAAGACAATTATGTCCTATCTTAATAGGATGGAATTTCCCTCCATTTTTCCACCCTGCTTTGAAGCCCTCCATTTGGTTCCATGTAATTGTTAGTCATTTATACATGATGAAAGTTTCCCTGTCTTCAGGAGTCTTCTGTTACGGGCACAAAGGTAAACTGAGCTTCCACAAGGTATTTCTGAAACCTAATTACTGCCTAGGCTGTGGTGATTTGGAATGAACTTCACTTCCTGTGATGTAAGGATGTGAGTGAGGAAGTACATGTATTTTTAATCCTTTTTTTTTTCAGACTTACAACATCTTTAACTTCGTTATATACAAATCGGTGTAGGGAAGTAAGCAATGTGCACACTAATAGTTGTGCCATTGATGGCAGAGAGCTGTGTGCATGACTAAAGGTTAAAGGATGTAATTTTAGTTAAGGAAACAAATTTATTGAACACTATATAAAGCCTGTACAATTTTTCCAGCTTCATTTCATATATCTTTGAGCACTGCAGAAGCAGCTGGGATGAGCTGTAGGTGAAGGCTTAGACACAGGTGAAATTGTCTGTACTCCCCAGGGAGCAACCCCTGAAGTGCAAATGTATCATGTAATGGACACTGTTTTAGGGGCATGGATGCCACAGCAGTTCCTGCATGAGCTGCACTTCCAGCCCCATCCTGGTGCCTCCTATGGAGCACACCACTGTGGCCATAAATCAGCACCTTTTTGGGTGTGAATTCCCACTGTTCCTGCCCTGCCATGAGTGGTGCCTCCTCCAGTGCTGTTCTCGTGGTGCTCCTGCTCAGCAGCCACCAAGACTGCTCTCCTCTATGGTCATGTTCCCAAAAAGCAAAATTTAATCAACACAGAACAAAAGCGCTCTAATGGAAAAGAAACCAACTCCTGAAATAAAGAAGAAATTCAATGTTCCCACAGTTATCCTTAGCATTATCACATTCTCTCTGCCTCCTTTGCTATGCAACCCCTAGCAAGGAGCAGTTTGTAGGGGAAAAAGATCATCAGAGAATTCCCCATATCCTTTGCATCTCTCCTTGGATTTCACTTCAGAGAGAGGAGAAATCTTACATGGTTGTAAATCTTCTAGTAATCAAATACAGCAATTAGAGATTTTCTGCATGTTACACTTTTTTCCCTCCTAATTTGTATTTGTGATACCATATTGACATGAGGAATCGTTACATCTAATGTGCCTGCTATGAATTCAAACTTTGTGTCACAAGAAGGTAATTATAGCTGGTTTCTCAGCATCCTGCCAGAAGTTCCTAATCATATTGCTTAATAAGTTCTCAGTGTTTGGCTCTTGCAAATATAGAACATAAAAGTAAATGTGAGGATATCTTCTGCTTTATCTTTACTTATACCCATTCTTCAGATAGTAATTTCTCAGCTCACTCTGATATCAGATTCTCCTTTTTCAGGCCAGAAAGATTTATTTCAGGGAATTTCAGCTTTGAGGTAGAGAAATCTGGCAGCCACAGTAGTCATAATGAGTGTTTTATCTCGTGCAAGAAGGTCTGAAATTCCACCCTCAGTTGCACTTCTGCAGCTTGTTGGGATCACAGGTGTGTAACAGCCAAATCCTGTACAGCAAAGCTAAATTTGATTCCTTCCTCCCTGCATCTTTAACTCCTTGTTTAGCTTATGGAAGGCTGTGGTTTTGTGACAGCAAGTATGAGCAAAGGTTATCCTTACTGGCCTATAGGGCTTGACAACATTTTCAAGCAGCTGTGACCAAGTTTTTCTTTAATACAGAGCACCAAACAAGAAATTCTGTCATTCACAAACTCTGCCATGAATGCAGGGACATTGTCCTTGCCATGTGACAGCTTCATTGATCATATCTCTGATTCTTCATTCAAATATTAAGGAAGATACTGATATGTTTTGTATCATTGCTGCCTTAACAGTATCTTTTAGTCTAGGCCTTCAGAGTTATGCTACTGGACTCCACATGATTTTACATACTAAAGAGATAAAAACCTAGACAAGGTCTAATAAAACATATAGGCAATTTTAACAGTTTAAATACAATTACAGTTATTAGAATGCTGGATGATTTGCAGTATTTCCAGAATTTGAACTCTTAATGGAGTTTTATGAAGGTTTTCTGTTGATTTTGGATGCAGGAAAAATTGAAGAAGAGTGCTGACTAACTTTCATTGTTTCTCAGTGCCTTGAGTAGAATACCTGGTTGCCTTACCTTGC